CGGAGGCTCACAGGGTTCCCGCCACAGAGGACACAGGCCACGGAGGCTCACAGGGTCCCCACCACAGAGGACACCAGCGCCCCGAAGAGAAGGCGGCCTGCTCAGGGTTAGTCAGACAGTATGTTTTCCAATAACAAAGCACAATACTTCCAGAGGTACAGTCACTCATAATGTTCCCGCAATGACATAAGGAAAGGGACCCTTTCATCCACCTTGCTGCCTGGAGGCCCCATGCCGCAAATGAATAAAAGCCCCATTTCAGAAACAAGAAGCATCTTTCTTGAACGCACCCACTGAGGGCGGAGACGGCTAACTCTCCCGCTCCCTAATTCTTAGATTAATTCCTGAATCCCAACACCATCCCGCTGCCACCCGTCTCCCAAATCAGTGCAGGGAAGACACAAGTCCCATCCTCACTGCAGTGCCTGTGTTAGCACCCACCTGATTTTTACTGCAGCTGGAGGAACACAGACAAAGGAAGAATGTTAAAAAAATAAATATTCTAATTACATTGAGATTTTTAAGGTATCGGTAGTTTGCTCTACTTAAATTTATGCAGAAGTATGAAAAAAGGCTATGGAGTTGCTGAATACTGACCTGTTCAAGGCGTTTCAGGTGCTGGTGGAGGTTGAGAGCTAGTCTGTCCCACCACCGGCCTCTGCTGTCTGGACAGTACACCTTCTGGGACAAAAGGCTCTCCAGCTGCTTGACGGCTTCCTGTCACAAGGGAAACTCATTAGACTCACACACACCAAAAGCACAAATGAGATCAGCCACGTGTACTTGGAAAGCTTATCTTTCCATCCCAAAACGAGGCCAAGGATGTGCCTCAGGAGTGGACCTGAGCTTCCTGAGGCGTCCCTACTTTTTACCCAGGTCCCCTGACAACTGTGAACACTGCATGACATATTCTACAAACCAAGTCAGCCGGCCCAGGGCCACTCAGGACCCAGATTGGGCAGGAGAGCCATGGCAGGGGCTGGAAACCCACTCGCTTCTGGGAACCCAGCTGGTCACGGGGCCCACGCGAGAGGAGTTTGGGGCGGTGGCAGGACATCTTAACAGGGGGACTTTCTGGTCTAGATTTGCGTAAACTGTTCAGTCCTTTATGTTACTCTTTTGTGGTTCATGGATCTCCTTGAAACAGCTAATAATTCTCCTGAGGAAAGTCGTACACACAATGGTGGGGTCACAGACTCCCCAAAGCCCATCCCATGGACCCTCTTGGGTCCATCCCAAGAAAATGCTTTGGCACATCCCTTGAAAAATACCAAGAAACTTCAACATAACAGAAGTTCACTGACAATCTCACAGTGTTGAGTATAAGGGAGGACATGAGCAAATCCTGATCTGTGATCCTAAATTCTTTCCAGACGGCCCATGACAGCTATCAGGGGACCACAAGCAGATGTGAGGTTCCCCCGCAGGGAGTCCTGGAGGCCTCGCCCGACCCACAGGGCCTCCCGGGAGAGACTTGGGCTCAGGTGACAACACTCGCACCCCCCAATCCCAGGCTGTGCAGGTGCGCCATCACCTCACCAAGCAGCTGGGCGCTGGCTCTCTGCACAGCTCAGTGCTGATGTGTCCATCCAGGCCCGTGCTCTCTCACCTCATACATGTGGAGTCGCTGGAAGATGTCGACAGCCCGGGACAAAATGCGCGTATAAACCCACCCAGCGGTAAAGCAGCGCAGAAAGACCGGGAGGCTCTCATGGTACCTAAGACGACAGGTACAGCAGCGGTTCGGACACTGGGGTTAGTTACTGGAAGAAGAGCACAGAAGTGACCCAGCACACTGGATTTCTAAATTTACAAAGGCATGCTGTAAACACTGTCAGCTGTGTGCAGTTTACACCACAGATCATTGTGCTTACAGACAGCCATCATCATTTCCTAGGTCTCTTGGGCAGTGGAGTAGGTGACAACAGCGGGTCATACTCGAAGCTGGAGGCCCGAGGGCCAAACCCAGGACCTGACTTTGTATGTCCTGCCAGCTAACCATGGTCTTCACAATGGTTAAAATAAATCAAATGGAGAATACCACTCTGTGCATGTGAAAATTATGTGAAACCGGTATTTTGGTGTTAATTAAGTTGGACCGAGCCATCTCGTTCACTCACGTGAAGTATCTGCAGTATAAGGCCGTGTGGCCTGCGAACCCCAAAATACTGACCAGCTGGCCTCTGACAGAACTCTACCAGCCTCTCTACTACAGTGATCCAACTTCCTGGCTAGGGTTTCTTTTCTTTCTTTTTTTTATGAAGAAAGCCACGTACTAACTTGTTTTAACCATTTGTTTTGCTGTTTGGTCTGAGAAATGTAACACATTTACCTCAATTATCTTAAGAAAATCCTCAATGTACATGCACATCACAGGCTAACATTGGTTATCTCATTTCTAGAAAGGCCTTTAAGGAAAAATGGCTCAATTTACTGCCCAAATTACAGAATGCTCCCAAACAAAACAGGGACAAAACTCAGTTATATTTTTCTTAACAGTAAAGGCCATTTCCTGACTATGGTTTTTAAGTCCATATCATTTCTGTATGTCCTAAATATTTTATTGGAAGAGATATTTAATAATACTAATTTTTCTCATCACTATGTAATAGCAAAGGAAAAATTTCTTAACAAATACAGAATATGTTTAAGATCTATAAAACCAAAAAAAATCAGGGATCATGTGCTGTGTCCTCGAACATTTGAGGTAAATGTTGAATGTAGTTTTCTTTTGCAGAATATCGCCCACTTGAACTTCCACTGAGAGGACACACCTAGCAACTCTCCCACAGTCTGTCCTCCTGCTGGCTGCCCCCCACATCTGAGCTCAGCAGACCAACACTCAGGGGAACCAGACACCTGAAGTGGGCAGCTGAAAGCCCAGTGTTTGTTTGTCTAAATGTCTGCTGCACAGGGATGTGATTTACCTAAACTTCCCTACAAACTTTTAGACATTTCCTCCTATTTTGCACAGCACTTCAACTCTATGCAAAGCAAGTAAGAAATTCAACTCCATGGCTGGTTTGACCACAGAACAAAAGAAGGATGTTCTTCATGAAGAAAATTACCTGGAGTGGTTGGAACAACTTGGTCAGTAAGTACATTTTGATGGGCCCCTTAAAAAACATCTCACCTCAGGGAAGGGTGGTTTTTCAGTTTGTTCCAGTCCCTTCTGGCACGCTGAGCGAGCTCGTGAGCTTCTTTCCAGTTCCCGTTGGCCATTGCGGTAGAAATGTCACTCAGCATGTGGGTGGCAGCTGCGTATCTGGGGGAAAAAACCCACACCATCCAAGTTTCAAATGTGAATGAGCACTTATATAAAAAATGTCCACTAAGTCTAAATCTGATGGGCAAAAGTATGTTTTTGAAAAACTTAAACTACTTAAATTTTCTTCTCGTAATAATTTAACACATAACACCACTGGAGTGGCCTAGAAGAACTATTGGGTTGTTGGAAAAGTCATGATGCATTTTTGCAACGAAACCATAGAAAAAATACGTCATGACTTTTCCGACAACTCAATAATACAGGTGACCCGACTAGGGAGAAAAAAACATCCGCACCTGTGACGATGTAACACGTTCCTGTATGTAAATGTGACAATGATTAGCTCATCAGCCTGGAGTTTGGACACTCGGTCATTCACTCATTCAACAATCTGGCAGCAGCCACGTGGACATGGAACTGACTTCAGAATTCTATTAAGGTGTAGACTTGGTAACTTGATCATTCAGTAAGAGGGACATTGCCCATGCTAATAGAATGACTTGGGGGTTTTCAAAATAGCTTCAGGACACTCTGGGAGACAGCAATGCTGAAACGCCCTGGAATCACTTAGCTGCAGACAGACACCTTCTCGCTGCATCTTTTGATACCAAAACAAGGACAATTGCCCACTGACTGTGACACTTGGACTCACACCTAAAAGAAAAGCACGTGCAACCCCTCTCATTATTACTAGGTGTCATATAATCACCCTTCCTCAAGTCAGTTAAATCCAATTTCATTTACATGGTAAGGCCCTCTGCATAACAAAATGAGTTTTCATTATTTATAGCATATCTACTTTTTAAAAAGAATATGGTTTATTTTTTTTCTCCCTAGCCCCCCTACTTTTGAACAACCATGGTTTTTTGTCAATCACAGAACTAAAAGGTAATATTCCTTAGATATAACAATACTAAGATGTAGTAAGCAACCCCTATAGGCCAGACTCTAAGCACTTTACAGGTACCAACACCTATCTGTAGGAATACACTACTATGTCCCCCATTTTACAAACGAGGAAACTGAGGCACAGAGAGGTTTCATGGTTCCCTAGGACAGAGACTGGAACTTGGCTTCAAAATACAGATTCCCACAAAAGAGAAAAGCATAAAGTCACTAAAAACAAAAAAAAATAAAAGGACATAAGACAACTAAAAACAGGGTAGAAGGAAATATTAGAAGATTTGACAAAAAGCGTTATTTTTATTGAACACAAACAAGATACTGAGCTTCCTAAGAGCTCAGGCAAAAGGGGCTAAAATCAGTTTATTTTGATTTAATAATTCCAACTTACTTTTTAAAGCACATTCTAAACAACACTTAAACGACCTTCCTAAAATCAAATATCAGAATCAATTTCAGTGAAATTTGAGTCATAAGCCTTAAATCAAGAGTCAGAAGTGACATTTTAGGAAATCCAAATTGATTTTTCTTATAAAAGGTGGGTTTGTTAGGAAACCCAAGTTGTTTTTTCCTGTAAGACCTATGCCATTTTTTTATTAAAACCTACTTTTGCCAGTCAAACCAAACATTCACGAAATCCATGTACTCAGTGAAAACCCCTCACCTGTCACGTACACGCGTGTGGAATGAGCAGACAAGTTGGTATTCACTTGATCTGAGGTGATATTATTGGGAAAACACTCACCTTCAGCTTGTTCATGCCAACGACATATTCACAAAGCAGGTTTGTTCAAACGTCTACATTTTTAAAATGTTGCCAACACTACATGGGGACATAAGCCAGGGAAAATGTCTATAGCTCTAGGCCCAAACTCACTTTTTTGGCAACTGTAATCTAAGCACATTTCTACATTCTCCTTATTGTCTTAGAAATGTATACAAGTGAGGCAGAAACATAACAAAAAACTGTTTTGTCTATGAACTTATGTTTCTACTGTGGCTGGCGAAAAATAGTAATAAAACATTTTACATTAAGTTTAAAGGCACAGCTATTATGACAGTGAGTAGACATGGTCTGACCTGATGAGATCGTCTCTATTCTGGAAGATTTGGGTTTTCCGATGGATGGTGTACCGAGGAAATGCCAGTCGGCCTAGGCTGACCAATAGCACAGAGGAAAGCTGGCTCTGCCCGCCGCCCGCGGCCTCCTCCTCTTCCAGTGAGTCGGTCAAGGCGAAGAGCAGCAGGATCCGGGAAAACACAGCCCGAGGGCCTGGGCACACTCGCAGGGCCGGTCCCGCCAAGGCCTTAGCTCTGAGAAATAAACGGCATCAAATAACTGTCCGGTTTCTAAGCATCTGGATATCAGATTTTACAAATGATTTTCAGATAAAATAAAGATAGGGGCATTCACCATTCTGAGCCTGAAGCAAATCTACCACTTCTGGCTGAGGGACACTGGAGCCTTTCTTAACCAACCTGGGACTCAGAGCACCACCTGGGACACGCAGATGATCAAATGAAATTTTATCTCCAAATGGTTTCAATAAAAGCAGGATGGGGCTGACGCTGGTGATGAACATGTAAAATACCAGAAAAATTCATGAAAGTTTCACCTAATTGACATTAGCAATTCTTGCTTTTTGCTAGAGGGACAATTTATTCACTGAAAATGCCTTTATGGAAGGCTCCTGGTAAGGCAGCACGGTCTCATGGACCAGGAAGCGGTACGAATTTACACCAAGGTTGGTGCTGTCCTCTGATGTGCAGGGGTCCCCAGGAGCACCTCCATTCCAGGGTAACTTCAGAGTGAACTCCGTTTGATTCTGGATGCCTTCAAGGTGGGCCTGGCAGTCTGAATAAACCCAGGGCTCTCACAGCTGGGGTACCATCTAGAACAGGATTCTCACCCTCAGAACTATTGACACTGGGCCGGATAATCCTTTTGGGGGGGGGGTCCTGTGCATTACAGGGTACCCAGCCACACCCCGGGCCTCTACTCACTACATGCCAGTAGCACCCCTCCTCCTGGTCATGACAATCAGAGCCTCTGGATGGGCCAGCTGCCCCTGGAGGGCAAGCTCACCGCAGCTGAGACCACTGGCCTAGTGGAGGACTTCCCACTTTCCTCTCTATCCCAGCAGCCTCTGCACCAAAGCATCGGGGTGGGGAGGTGGGGGCACTGTGGGCACTGGTGCCACCAGGGGGTGGGGTGGGATTCCTATCTACACAGACTGGCTCAAAGGGCCCACTTCCTCCATCTCCACACAGAGCCCAGGGCTGTCCCTGTGGACCAAGCCCTGCGCTGCAGAAGGAAGCAATCGTCACACATGGCAAAGGGAACGGTCCTCTCAACTGGGGCTCAGGAAGTGTGAACGAGGAACCTTTTTCTGTTTCCTATGATAACAGCAGAGTGAGATAACCAGGTACTGTCCTGGCGGAGACTCTGAGATGCCACTGCTGGGCTCCACCACAAAATAAGGAAATAAAGGACAATCTTAAAGGACAGTGACAACTAAAATAGCCTTGAGTCCAAAGTCAGTGATAAAAAATGTTAATCTTATCTCTTTTATTTCTGTTCGCATGCTAAGTGCTGACACTGAGGGGACTGCCAATTTTGATGTTCACTTGCTTATATAATGTTACTTAAAAGGTAAACATAAAATACTTGAGAAATACCATTGGATAAGGAAAAAACTTGGAAGACATTGATCATACCAGAGGGATGGGGATTCAATCTCGTAAAGTCAATGAACTATAAATATATAATTTATTAACATACTTTTAAAAAACCTATGGTATAAACTTTTTTGAAGGGCTGGCAGTGACGTTTTTCTTAATAATATATGTCATATTTATGACTAGATTATTTTATTAAAGATTAGTATTTGTATGTGCCAGGGATGGACTCTTGGCACGTAACCACTGAGAGTTACCTGTGTGTGAGAGCAAGTGTGTGTATAAATCCACACACACACACACACACACACACACACACACACACAGACACAATAAACAACGTAAATAACAATGACATCATATTAAAAACCATGATCTCAGGCAGCCAACTGGCTCAGCTGATTAGAGCGCAGTGCTCATAACACCATGGTTGCCGGTTCGATCCTTGCATGGGCCACAGAGCTGCACCCTCCACAACTAGATTGAAACAACTCCTTGACTTGGAGCTAATGGGTCCTGGAAAAACACACTGTTCCCCAATAAAAAAAATAAAAATAAATAAAAATAAAGCATCATCTCATTTCATCCTCAACAACTCCAGAATAGTGGGTTCCCAGACTGAATAGTTATGTTTTATAGATAATGTGGGCAGAAGACACAAATTCTAAGTTTTTACAGTCTTCCTCAAACTGAAACTGTTCAAGGGCTTCACAAGGGCAAATGAAACTACCCACAGTGTGGTAAATTTTTATGTTTACACTCAAATAAAGCTGCATATGAAAACTGACAGATTACACTTCAATAAAGTTTACTAAAATAAAAATTTGACCGAATAGTTCACCCTTCAATCCTGCAAGAATGGTCATTAGAACTGCATTTTTCTTGAATAATTAATAAAATACTAGAACTTACCAAAGGCCTATTGCCTTTATTCTCTTGATCTCTGACTTTTCTAGGTCCTAGAAATTAGTAGGGTGTTGTAAGAATTATAAATAATAAACCAAGAAGGAATCCAGGCTATTGTAATTAAGGCTCTCTCACTTCTCAATCTAATTGTAAATGAAATAAGCAATGACAAAACAAAAATGTGTGCCATCTATTGTAAATTAATATGCATGATCAACATTTTAAATGCTTTTACTGTAACAACAGCCAACAAAACCTTTTTAAAATCACTGCGCCGACTCCAGGCTGTCTCTTGCCCCAAGTGCAGACTGAAGGCTGTCTGGCCAGTTTGAGAAAGGTCTCCACCAGCTGCTGCTTCTGCCCATTGGGGTTTGCCAAGTGGAAGGTCTTTGCCAGGGTTTTGAGTTCAGGAGCAGAAAGTAATTCCAACACTTCAGGGAGTTCTTGCAACTCAGATTCTGAAATGGTCAAACACCAATTACTAACAGTGTTCGAGAGTTTGACCGTTTTCTAGCTTGATTTACGTGAAGAAGAAGGAAGCTTGGTTGGATGGAAAGGAAAGGAAACGCTACTGGAGATCTTGGTTTGCCAAACCAATTATTAAAGGATGGGGAAAACGGACATTTTGGAGAAGTTACAATAGAACTTCTCAATACAACCTAAAGGAAAATGTGAAAAAAAACAGACACAGATGGTAGTCATGATGGTCTGGGCCTCCTCCTCAAAAGCTCACTGGTATATTCGCTCTTTTGAATTATAAACCTCCAAGGGGACCTCTCCAAAACAGGCCGGAGAGTCAGCTGCCCATCAGCCCTCCCCTTGCCCCACAGACCTCTGGCCTCCTTCATCCACCACACATGTGTCACGCATTATGGGACCCAGACACCATTCTCAACCCACGGGATTTGGCTGAGTCACACCCAGGTTCAGGCAGTGCCTGCTTCCTCCATTCGGCAAACACAGGGTGCACACTGCATGCCCAATAATTTCCACGGCCCTGGGCACAGCGCCATTAACACCCAAGCCCTCCCCACAGGAGCCTGCCTCCTAGCACAATAAATAAGCAAATATTTGTGGTGGTGATAACTGCTGCCTGATAAACCTGGGCAAGGCAAAGTGACATGGCGGGGAGGCTGGATTTTCCACGGGTTGGCCATGCAAATCTGATGAGGTGACACGGAGCACAGGTGATGAAATGCAGGGGAGATCTGAGGGGCGGCGAGTACAAGGCTGGGACACAGGTGTGCACTCAGCATGCTGAGGACACAGAGGAGAGCTGGATGGCCACAGCAGAGGGACACCCAGGGCCACAACCACGGGCTGTGTGGATCGTGGGCCGGACTTGAACTTGACTGCGTGCAGCAAGGGAGCCTGGGACTCTGGTTTGCTGGTGAAAGGTTATTTCCTGGGAGGTCAAGGCTCACCTGGCATGCGATGTGGAGATTCACAGACTCTACCAGATCTGAGACAGACAGGGACCTGAGCTCCCAGGAGACCTGGATGGCACAGACGTGTGGGAAGCACTGGTTCACGGAGGGCCCCGCATCCTACCCACTGTCTCACATCCGGGGCCTCCCTGCCTTAATTTCCAGAACTTCCTGCTGCTCTTCCCCTGCAGACGCTGCTGCACAGAAACCTTCTGGCTTTGGCTTCATTTGCTTATTTCAGTCTAACCTGAACCCAAGTCTCAACATCTATCATTGTCCTTAGACCTAAGTGTCCAGTGCAATATTGTGCTCAGTACAGGTAGGTGCTTAATGAATTCTACCGATAAGACAACCAGGGTTGCCCAGTGTTCACACAGGCTTACGTCAAACAATTCTTGAAGCAATCAACCTAGAAACTCAAAGGTATGCGGGGGGGTCGATGAAGTTTTCAGAGGCAATTTCAGCATCACACAAACCAGCTTTATTCTGTCATAAGGATGAGGAATTTGGATAATATGGGTAAGTTCTTGCTGAAAGGACACAGCTGAGGAAGGCTGAGTGGCTTCTTCTGTGGTGACTTTATGTGACTTTAAGTCACCCACCTTAGGTGACTTTATGGTCCTAAATTTGTGACAGTTAAGAAAATAGCAGACACTCTTCTTGTTGTCTGAACCCAGGCTAATGATGGCTTTAGCATCACATGAATAATTGATTGCTCTAAGAAAATTAAAAACTCAATTTAAAAAAACACATAATTATTATTTATCAGGCACCAACTAGGGGATGGCACCATGCTAATATCACCATCATTCTGCAGAAACTTAATTCTTCGTGTCCTGTTTTCATTTTACCTTTACTTCAACTGATCATACCTGTGTGCAGAAAGCCTGCTTGCCTCAGTTCTCCAATCACAGGTGCTAAGTCAGTGGCAATCTCTTCATAGTCCAGTTTATTCATCTTAATCCAGCTGAATTTACGTTGAAATAGTCTTACATATAACTTCTGACCATTATCTGCGATAAAGTTAAGAAAAACGGGGAAAATATGATCTTCCTTCTTAAAAACAACATGCAAGTATCATTTACTTTTAAAAACTGAGGTGAGTATATATACTCTATTAGAAATATACACGCTTCCTCAACTGATCTTCCAAGAAAATCTTTTTCTTCCTTTGGGAGATGTAACTTATTTCAAATACAAAGCCCCCACGGGGATGTCTCCTTGTTGTGTGTGCCCGTCACCAAAAGAAAGGAAGACCATCCGGAACGGAACCCCCTGGGCCAGTTCTGCCACTTCTAAATTATGTGAATGTCATCGAACCTTATGGAGGCTCCATTTTCTCTTCTATTTAAATAAAAAAAAAAAGGAGGAATGGTGGGAGGCATTAAGTCCGTTTTCCCAAAGTTGGAGGAACAATTAAACAAAGTGAGGTGTTCAAGGATTGGTCTCTGAACCATAAAAAAAAAAAAGAAAAAAAATCCAATGTTGGTAACAATTATTGACCATTTTAAAACTTCTAAGAATCAGGTTTTCTAGCCACCATTTCCACTCCCTCAGAGAAGCCCTACCCAGAATTCCAGTTATTATTCTGTTTCCTGCTTTTGGTTTAATACGCATCATTCTATTTTTGGTTGAAAATCATTTCAACCGAAAGATTTTTTAAAAAATGTCTCACTTTGGGGCCGGCCGAGTGGCTCGCTGGTTAGGAGTTGGCTTGGGACGCCAGCTCTGAGCAGCAGGGCCCCGGTTCGGATCCCACATGAGGGCAAGTGACACTGCACCCTCTACAGCTAAGATGGTGAACAACAGCTCAACCTGGAGCTGGGCTGCCGTGAGTAGCCGGCGACAGTGTAGGCTGCAGTGGAGCTCCCATGAGCCACCGTGAGCGGCCGTCCAGTGGCCGGCGACTGATCTGCCTCACCCGGGAAGAGCACAATGATAATACCAACATGGGCCAGTGAAGCAACGTCCTCCACAACTAGACTGAGGAACAAAAGGACAGCAACTTGTCTGTTCCCCTTCCCCTGATTCCCCAAACGCTGTTCCCCTCCCCAAATTCCCCAATTAAATCTTTAAAAAAAAAAAAAAGTCTTGCTTTGGTAGGGCAGCCATCTCTCTCCGTGATCTCAGCTGAGCCATTTGATTAACCCGTTTGGTGCCAGTTTCCCGATTACCCAAATTATCACTGAATTTCTGCCAGCTCTAAAATGGTCTAATTATATATTTTTAATTCTCAACATTTCTTTTCCTTTTTTTCTTTAAAGAGGCAAAAGTGATTAGGAGCAGTTACTTTCACAGACAGACTTGTAAGTGATTCTCCGTGGAGGGCAATACAGAATATGCAGAACTGCACTAGGGAGACCAGCCATATTTCTCAATTAGATGGAAACAGAGCCACCAACTACTCAAATGCTTGGATGAATGCAACCAGCACCCAGCCCAAAATGAGTGATTCCACTGTGTGAATTTAAAACTAAAACCCTTTTCTTAAACATTAGTGTAATGTTCGGGATTTTTTTTTTAACTACCAAGGTGTCGGACCTGGCTACTTATTATTAGGGATCAGTGTGGCCCCCAAGCAAGCTTTTCCTACCTCAGGGACTCAGTTCCACGGCACCACCGTGACCCTTTGGATTGACATTGCAACTGTCACAATGGTGGCTTTTGTTCCCAGCCTGCACCACCGGCTTAGCGCCATCACTGGCTGCCAAGGACTGGAGGCAGAGACTAGTATTTTTAAATGGACCAATTTAGCTTGAAAGTTTCCATTTCCTCCAGAGCCAGGCTTTAAAAGGCAGAGTCCAGGAACCTAAAATATGGTTGCAGAAAAAAAATACGCCTCAATCTACCTTGGCTTATTTTTTCCTGTATTTTCATTTACTTTCATTTTTGAGGAAATGGGTGTACAAAACCCACAAAACAATCTAACCATAGCTTGAGGACAAGCTCAAAATGCAAAGAACACTTTTCTGAATTGCATGATATATGTTTTTTTAATCTGGAAAAGGCTGTCTTACAACCATCAAGTTAACAGTAAGTCCTCACTTAACGTTGTCCATAGGTTCTGCAACTTTGAATGAAAAGAAGTATAACATGGGGTGGCCGGTTAGCTCAGGTGGTTAGAGCGCAGTGCTTATAACACCAAGGTTGCCGGTTCGATCCCCGCATGGGCCACTGTGATGCGCCCTCCACAACTAGATTGAAACAACTACTTGACTTGGAGCTGATGGGTCCTGGAAAAACACACTGTTCCCCAATAAACTAAAAAAAAAAAGGAAGTATAACAAAACCAGTTTCATCACAGGCCAATTGATATAAACAAGAGTTATGTTCCCAAAGCATCCCATCAATGTTATAAATGTAAAGATGTTGAACGAAACGTTATTCAAGGACCTGCCGTATACATATGAAGGCAGGATACTGCGCGAGCAGGCATCACTGGGCACAAAATCTTGTCTCTTTTACATGCCTATCCTTCTCTCAAGGAACCTTGTAGAAGGCTCTAATTCCCACAAATAATCCCAGAGGATTCTCAAAACCATACTGACTCCTTGTGGTCATCAGGGCCCAAATCAGGACAGCAAATAGGGACACAAAAAACTTGAAAGCAAATAGGCTTAAGATACCTGATAATTGATAAAATTTAGTTACGATTCCTTTCTCGTGTTCATCAAAGAGTGACCTATCCTCTTCATTCTCAAATACAGCTCCCAGCACCACCAGGAAACTGTGAAGGTAGTAAGGTGTGGCCGGAATAGTTTCACCAGGTACATCACTGCTTGACCCCTGCTCCAAAGGGACTCTATGAGTGACTTCAGTCTTTAAGCCACTGTCGCCTTCCAGAGGAAGCTCTTGGATATTACTCCATTTAGAAGCATCATGTGTACAGCTATGAGTTTTTGCCTCTTGATCTGACAGCTCTGTGGTAGTTTCTGAAGTAACAGCCATTGTAACTTCTTCACCACTACCTGCCTCAAGATTTTCAACACCTGTACCAGCCACTCCTTTGATACTCCCCTGTTTTGCAAGAGTGTCCTCTGAAGTAGACTGTAACTGATCCCCAAAAGTTCCATCTGGTGAAAGTAATCGGGGAGTGTTGCCTGAGAAGGCAGAGGTGAGAGCTGTTGTCCCACATTCCTGGGTAGCCTTGTGATTTTCAGCTTTCGTTACTTTAGTGCCTTCTACAGTATGCTCGGGGGTACTCTGTTCCTTAAGAGGCTCGCAGGTAAATGTATTTTCCTTCTGAGAGCTGTTCTCCAAAGTTTGATCCTGGTCCTCAGTCTCTGAACAGTTATCAACCACCCTAACCACTGAGGAACTCTGAGGACCACGATTGGCAAACGGCTCATTCTTCTCTATGCATCTTTTTGCCTTTATGTATCTTCTAGACAATTTAGATGACAGGCTTCCCAAAGGAATGACTTTGACATTATGATGTCTCAGCTCGTCTTGGTTTTTACACACCAAGTCATCATTACTTTTAAAGTAGGGGCTGGTCTGCTGTTTTACACCCATTTTTACTGAACCGCTTTGGCCAGGGCTTAAATTTGTCTTTGATGGTGAGGACTTCTCAGGAGTTACATCATCCACGGCACTATTGGTTAAGTCTATTGTGGACACATTTGAATTCGTTAAGCCGACACGCTTAACTTCTGGGACGTCACCACTATCAGAACACATTTCATCAAGGTGCCGGTTTAAGTCGTATCTTGGCACCATTTTACTACAAACGGGGCAGGCAAGTTTAGCAGGTGGTGCATTGTTGAAAAACAAAGCAATAGAGTTAGCCTCCTTTTTTTTAGTTTTGCTGCTTGATAAACTTCTACGGGGTCTTTTTTTCGCAGGTGATTTCCCTTCTGGCATCCTGAGCATTGGGAAAACTGGGTGTTTCAAGTAATAAAACACAGGGGAGACGATAGCAATGGTTTACTTTTACTTCCCTGACTTGGAATAACAAAAAGTGGGCTTCTATTTGATGTCATGTTATTCGTTTAGTCGATTTCTTCTTCCTGCAAAATAAGACACATGTGGATTAAAAACGTTTTTATAAACTCAAAACAGAGGGGGAAAGTAAGCTGTGAAACACGCAATGGCAGCATCTTTTGCGATACGGAAAACCCTGGGCTGGGGACAGAAGCCAGGCTCTACATGCACCGTCCGTGTGCCCCACTAGCCATAAAATGATGGCGTTGGACTTTGCAGGCGGTAATTTCTAAGGCCTCTCTTTAAGATCTAAAATTGTCCGTTTATAAAAAGGGACCATTTGACTATTCCAGGTCCTTTTTCTTTAAGGCCCCTGCAGCGGGCAACTTTTCCAGGGATAGACCGTGCCTATCTGCGCGACCCCCAGGGTCACTTCTGCCTCACAGGTCGCGGGCATCTGGGGCTCCGAGCTCGGGCCGCCCGCCTCCCGCTCCCGCCCTCCGGACACGACCGCCTTGAGCCCGCCACTCTCCTCCTGCTTCAACTATTGATGAGGCTAAAAGGAGTAGGAATGAGGGTGGTAATAGTCAGAAGCTCATGTTATTTATACGAGGGAATGCTATATNTCCTCCCGTCCGAGCCCCCCGCCCGCGACCCCGGCCCGGGCTCCCCACACCTCCCACCTAGCTCCGCGCGCCCAGGCATGAGCAGCCGATCCCCGCGTCTCGGCTCGCACAGGCTCGGCAAGTGGAGGCCCGAGTGATCGATCTCCCCGCTCCTGCCCCTTGAAGGCCTTTTTCCCTCGAGAGCGGCTGGGTAGGCGCCCTTTTCTCTTTACACCTGGAGGCGGTCACTGCAGGTGCGTCCCTGCACGTGCACACGGAGGGAACCCCTTTCCCAGTCGGTGGGGAGGTTGCTAATTGGGGGAGAAGTCAAAGTGAAGGGGCCTCCTGGGAGAAGACAGAGGGGTGGCCTCTACTCAGCCTGCGGTGCTGGGCTTTCCAGATGTGCTGTTCGCTGCCGCCTTGATACCATAGATGCAAATGACCTCAAGAGCAAAGGAATAACAAAATGTAGTCAAGTACAGCAGCCCCCCACCCCCTTACCTGCAGGGGATACGGTCCCGGACCCCGTGGGTGCCCGAAACCGCGGATAGTACCGAACCCTATATGGACTGTTTTTTCCTATCCATATCTACCTATGATGAAGTTCAATTTATGTTAGGCACAGTAAGAGATCAACAACAATAAAATAGAACAATTGTAACAATATAGTGTAATAAGATTATGTAAATATAGTCTCTCCGATAACTGATCTGATTAGCGAGAGGCCTACTAAGTGACTAACGTGCGGGTCCATCTACAGTGTGGATACACTAGACAAATGGATGATTCTCTCAGGGGCAGGACTGAGCAGGTCCTTGCGAGATTTCATCGCACTACACAGAACAACTCACAGTTTAAAACTTAGGAATTGTTTGTTTCTGGAATTTTCCATGTAATATTCTCGGACTGTGGTTGACCACACATAACTGAAATGGGAGGAAAGTGAAACGGTGGAGAAGGGGGAACTACTGTCATTGGGGAGTGGTGACTTTGGGATATTTATTACTTTTAAAAAATATAGTTTGTGAGATTATATAATTTATAAAATGGCTGTTTAACAACTGAAAAATTACTGGAAGCTTATCAGTCAGCTCTTGAGCACTGAGGCCAGTTGCTTCCAGCATCCCCTAGAATGACCCAGAATGTGAGCTGAGCACGGGGCCGTGTTTGTGGTCCTTAGCCACGGCCTGCAACAGTGGCCAGCACTGGGTAGTTACTCCATAAATATGGGTCGAATGAACACGTGAATAAACCAAAGGCACATAAGTAGGGAATTCGTCTACAGGTATGTATTGAGTGCCTCTCATGTCCTGTGGCAGTGGACAGAATGAGGAACGGTGTGGGAGGGGAACCCCAGCCTTCATGGAGAATACATTCTTGTGGAGGAAGACAGAGAAAAAAAAGATTATGTAGAGAATTCAAAGATGAGTCCTTGGAAGAGAAGTACAGGCAGGAACAGCCTGGTGAGGGTGGGGAGGGGGGTTACGTTTGGAAAGCGTGGGAAGGAAAGACCACACGGCAAACCTAACATTTGCGCAGACTGGAAGGAGGCAAGGCGGTGGCTATTTGAGAGGATTGTAGGTAGCAGCAGCATTAGCAGGGAGTGTACCTGAGGTAGAGGCTTGTCTGGCAAGTCTAAGAACCAAGCAGGCCGGGGAGGCTGGAGCAGGCAAGTTCTCTACCCATGCAAGGCTTCAGGCATATCCGCCAAATGCAATCAATGAGACCCTATCAGACAAAAGGCAGTTTGTCCGGGATGGGGATGGTGAATCCATGGGCACTGGACTGTCAGTGTACCTTCCTAGCCGTATTCACCTTCCGTCATGTTTAGGTCCCACGTGTCCTCTAGTCATCTGACTGTGGACGGAACTCTACGGCTTAAGAGCCTTTCAGGTGACGAGATCATTTCTCAAGGGGAGAGATGTCAGGCACATGCACAAGAATCCCACTGTTTCGTGAAAGGACGATGGCCGTGGGAGAAGGAAATCAAGACCCCAGAGAGTGAGGACCTCTGTGGGCAGCTGGCTGTGATGGGGGTGGCTGGCTCTGCGCCCTCAGCCTGCAGCCAGCTCCTGCCCCCTCCCAAGCGGCCTGTCACGTGGGCCCAGCATGGGAACGGCCTCGGGAGCTCAGTCCTGCTCCATACCCAGAAAAAGCAAGACGGGGCTTTGCAAACACAGTTTGGAGTTTGTGTTTTCACACTGTGCACCTCTCAAATATCTGCCATCCATGCCAAGAAAAGTTCTCAAAAATTTTATTTATAAAGCAGAACGATGACAGACCATAAGCTTATGTGTTAATAGTTACATTATATTAAAATATATTACAGCTTTAACTTATGAACGGAAATGTCCTGTCTTTTCTTCTTTTTCTTTTCTGTCTTCTTTGCGTCACTGATTTGCATTTTTACTTGATCTTGTAATTTAGAAAAGAATGCTTGAGAGGACTTCAAGGCTTTGTCTTTACCTTCATCCTGCAATTAAAAATAATACATGCTCATGTACAAGATGTGCTTCTAGGTGAAACAGCCAAATGATGGACAGTCTATAAAAGCATAAACATGAAAAAAGACTACACGAAATTGTGAAAAACCAAACCTGTCAGCATAAAGGTACTCATTCCACACATTCTATGCTGCTATAATGTTCTTGTGATTTATGGACCCGGCGGAAGAAAACAGCTCAGCACCTGGGTTACTCTGAGGACCCCACCTTACAAACCGAGGGTGAGGCTGTGGCCTCAGCACTCCGCAGGGAGGTGTCGTCGCTGGCTGTCACTCAGGGTGAGGAGCACTTGCCACCTACAGCTTGCCACCCGCTGCCCCTCGAAGGCCCCCTCTGGCCGTTTCTGTCCCGCGGGCCTACCTTTAGCAGCGAGGCTCTGCCCGCCTTGGTCAGCTGCTTTAATGTCTCGGACGCTGCTGCTTTGCTGTATTTCCCTGCTTTGTCTGGGTTGCTCTTCTCCAGGGCTTTCCTCCGCTTTTCCTTCTCCTTTATTTTCAGACGCTTCTGGAATTTCTTTTTCCTCCTTTCTCGTTTCTTGTCTGTAGCTGTTTTCTCAGCAGTGGTTTTTATATCTCCAGCTTTATTTTTTTCCTATTAAAAAAGAACCACCAACATACTAGCTCATGTGATCTCTCGGGAGATGAGAAAAGAAACACGTGCGCGAATGTGGCCGCGAGCGGCATGCCCGTGGTCAAGTGTGAGTATGCAGGGCACCCCCACTGCGCCCGGTAACTCAGCTTAGGATCCGGAATGCATGACCCCCTCCACCGGCGCTCCAGTCCCCAGCCTCCTTCACAAAGGTGGCCCGGAGAGCTGGGCTGTGCAGCTGACACCCCCAGAGGAGCCAGCACCCTATAGCACTCAGACTCCAGCCTGGGCTTCAGGACACGACCGAAGCAGCCCCACACTAAGCTGCGATGGCAGATACCGGGTGGACAGCAGGGTTCCCCAAGCTGGGAGGAAAGATGTCCAGTGAGGATCATTTCCTCTCTTCTCTGCTCAGCTGCCAGCCTAGCTGCCAGGGCTGTCACCTGCAGAGGCAGCCAAGGCTCTGAAGGGGCGGGTGTGGGTGTAGCAAAGCAAGTGAGCAGGGAAGAGGGCTGTGCTGCTACGCCCACCAGGAGGACAGGCGCTGGCAAGATGTTTCGTTACTGTCAGTGTTCAGACGGGCGCTGCCCACACCTTCCAACATCCTAATGCTCTATTCTAGACCGATTCCATTACTGACAAAACAAGGGGGTGCTGTACACAGGCAACATATGCAATTTGTTCTAAACCTAACGTCTAAACCTAACATTGGATCATAACAAGATACCAATAGTGGATATTTACCAACAATTCTTAGAGCTGCATCTTGTAATATTAGCTGATCATAGGAGACTGGTACTGTATTTGCATATTCTATAACATTATTCGTTTGATTATACTTAGAAACTGCTAAGATGTGATAGAATAAAAACTATAAACCCAAGGAGAACACAGTACTCGGAGGCCTGGCTACGAGCTGCTAAGTTATATAAACAGCACTTAACGTTCCAGCTCCGGTTCCTTACCTTCACCTCCTCTGGGGCCAGGAGAGCTGCATCGCTGACACTCACGGGGGCGACTTCCTCCATGGTTATGGCCGGCAGATTGGACACAACTTTAATCTCTGGAACAGGCTAGAAAAGAGACAATACATTTAACAGGAAGTCAGAAGCAGTGCTAACATAAAATATTTGAACTGTGAACCTACTAAGGTATAATTACTAATACTTTATGAAGATTATTTAAAATGTGAGGTGTGTTGACGGCGAAAGTCTTAAGCTAAGCAGAATAATGGCAGTATTGGTGGGCAGTGCGGGCTGCCTGAGGACTTTTCAGATACCTGAGTATTTCAGGGTCTTCTCTGTCTCAACACTACACCATGGGCACTACCTTCTACACCTATGTATGACATTTCTGACACATCTAAACATCAGTTCTTTCATCTGTTACTGGACTAATTCCATCTGCCATGCGTGTGGGTATTCTCAAACAACCTTATCTGCTGTTTAGTAGGATCTATTGATTTCTGTAAATACATCTTGCTCTTGGTTATGGGGACTAAAGCTAACTATTAAGAAATATATGGGGGCCGGCCAAGTGGCACGTTGGTTAAGAGCTGGCTTGGGACTCCAGAGGGCCCCGGTTCGGATCCCACATATGAGGGCCAGTGACATTGCCCTCTACAGCTAAGATGCTGAACAACAGCTCAACCTGGAGCTGGGCTGCCGTGAGTCGCCGGCGACGGCATAGGCTGCAATCCCTGCTGCAGTGGGTTGCCATGGGCTACCGTGTGTAGCCAGCAGCCAGTGTGAGCGGCCAGCAGCCGCAGTGAGCGGCCGTCCAGAAGCCAGCGACTGATCTGCCTCGCCCTGGAA